TAAATGAAGGAAGAAATGTCCACCTCAACACATAGCACCAAACGAAAGTGGTCATAGTTGGGATTTTATTTCAGTTCTTCCCCCCATAATTGTGTTGGGAAACAGTGATCCTTCTGCTCCAATTTCATTACTGCTGCCTCCCTATCCCTTTCTTCTCTCTAGGCCAGAAAAAGAAACAGTTACTAATTTTGGGACTGTAGCTGATTTAGGAACAACTTTAATCCCATTAAATTTCTGCTCACAGACATTCTACAGTATTAAATGTTGTCACTAGAGAAATGCAGAAGATGAAGGATTTTAAAGGTCATCTGGTTCAGCCCCAAGGCTTTGGAGTAAACCCTCCCACAAACGTCTTTGTGTCCTATGACGTCACTGCCTTGCTTTCAATACCCTCCAATACCAGCCCCAAATATCAGTCCATAGGGCAGCAGGAAGTCGTGGATTTGCAGGACGGCTTTGGTTTTAAAGAGACTATTGCAATGTCCCTATAAGTCAGGGTGACTGTCTCAGTGTCCCTGATGCAGTTCTGGTTTATTCTTAATGTTACGGCGCCCTTCCTGCCAGGAGCTTCTTTCACCGTTGAAATGGTATTGCTTTAGACGACTTGTTACATGGCCATGCTCCCTAAGCACACAGGCATTTATAACATGCACTCCAAGTGTCAGTTCCAAAGACATGGACACGCACAGCCCCCATCTGTCCTTTTTTCCATTCTTACCTAGCACATGCCCTCTGGTGTGACCATGCACGTCTGATGATTGCCTCCTCCCCTATTGAATGCTTGTTCCTGCCTCTGAGTTTCCTAATGTTCCTCTCCCTTCCTGAATGTTCTCCTGCCCCACCACTTATGTAAATCTTACCCATCCTTCAAACTGTGGTTAAGCCCCACTGCCATGAAGCCGCCTCTGTCTACCTCAACCCACACGGATTCCTCCCTTCTCTTAACTTCTACCCGTGACATTTGCTTTGCTAAAATAAGGTAAGGAAGGAAAGGCACATCTTTGGTAATGGACTCACTCCTCCTCTGAACGCTCTGCCTGTACATTGCTTAGAAACCTGCGGGTAGTACCTGGTCCTGGCAATTTGGTCCTTATCTCAACAGGTTGGCTATCTTCAAAGGTACGTCATTAAAAAGAATGAGAATATGATGCATAATCCATTTGCACATGCTTTTTTCTTACCAAATGGTTGTTCAGCCAAGAAAGCTGCAAACAGAACATTTAAACTGGAGACTCTCTCAGAGATTAACTTGCCTAACCTCTTACCCAAAGCCGATGTGCACCCCTCTCCCCACACACACAGCAGCCTTGAAAGATGGCCATCCGACTTGTTGGTAAACACATCATTTCAGCTTGTCTCTCTAGAAACCTTGATTCTTTGCTGGATAGCTCTGGTTGTTAAAGTTCTTCCTTGTAATAGAGTATTTCTCAAAGTTAAGTCTGTGGACCATCTGCACCGTAGTTATTTGAGGTGCTTCCTAAAACTGCCGATTCCTAAGTCCAGCTCCAGCATATTGAATCAGCATTTGGAGCAAGGAGAGAAACAGTCATCTACATTGTTAACAGGTTTTCCAGGTGATATTTATGATCTGTGTAAGATTCGCTGCTAGAGTCAGTGGATTCTATATCGAGAATTCAGTTCTACCTTCCTAACGACAGAGAGCAAGACCCTCCCCTCTTCTTCAAGGCAGGTCTTTCAACACTGGAAGAGGTCAGTTCTCTACCTCCCTTCATTAATACTCGTCGGCAACCCAGGTTATTTCACTCTTACTCCTACTACAAAGTTCCCTACCCTGAACCAAGTTCAGCACACTTCTCCTGGTCTTTCCCTTCCTGCCAATGTCGCCCTTCCCCTGCCAAATCTGATGCCCAAATTGAGAGAGAGAGCTAGATTTGTAATGCTTTCACTACACGCTGACAATTTTCTGAAGTACAGTGGACTCCTGGACAGTGTGGGGGTTCGGGGCACCAACCTCTTGTGCAGCCAAAAACCCACATATAACTTCTGACTCCCTAAAACTTAACTACTATAGCCTGCCCTTGACTGGAAGCCATACTGATAACATAAACATTCGACTAACACATATTTTGTATTCTATGCACTGTATGCTTATGATACAGTAAGTTGTAGAAAATAGTTTTAAAAAATCATAAGAGACAGGGCACCTGGGTGGCTCAGTGGGTTAAAGCCTCTGCCTTTGGCTCAGGTCATGATCCCAGGGTTCTGGGATTGAGCACAGCATAGGGCTCTCTGCTCAGCGGGGAGCCTGCTTCCTCCTCTCTCTCTGCCTGCCTCTCTGCCTACTTGTGATCTATTTATCAAATAAATAAATAAAATATTTTTAAAAAATCACAAGAGAAAATAATTTACTGTAGTTATAATACTATCCTGTATTTATCAGAAATATTTCACATATAAGTGGACCTTATGGTTCAGACCCATGTTGGTCAAGTGTCAGCTGTTATCAATTTACACTCCAATGAGCTGACAGTGAGAATACCCATTTTGGCTTAAACTAACCTGCAGGTATTGTCATTTTGTAAATCTTTGCTAATTTAATGGGCACATGACCTTGACTCCTTATAGTTGTTTTATTTTGGGTGCCTTCGAAAAATATGTTTCATATATATATTGGGATTGGTAGTTCTTTTGAGAATTGTCTGCTTCTCTCTTTTCTGTTTTTGTTGTTGTTTTAATTTTTAACTCATTGTGTCAGTTGCAGTGGCAAGTAAATCCTTTCAATGCATTATCTCCTGTAATGTTCCAAACACTCCCCCCACTCTGTAGGTGAAGAAACTGAGCCTTCAGGAGCCTATAATGAGAAAACACAGACCTTCTGCTTCGTCACTGATTCATCCCTTCTTTCATCAACCTTTTTTTTTTTTTTTGGAGGAGAGCTCTTCACCTTCCAGACGCTTTGCTAAGAGAGGTAATATGTGGCTGACCCTAAAAGACTACCAGAAAAGGATCAAAGGGAATAATTTGGAAATAATGCAGAATTCCTAAACAGTAGCAGCAGAAATCGTTCAAAAGCATATATATAAGTAAAATTGGTTTTCCTTTTTTCCATTTTATATTATCTGATGTCCCAAGACCAGTGTTTTTGCAATTAACTGAGATCCTAAAGTTAATTCATTATTTATAGCATTTCAGTCCAAGTAGCTGAGCAGCTCTTGGTTTTTGGTTAATTCAATCAAAGTTTATGCAATTATACTTTAATTCAAAATACATATGCATAATGTTGAAATCCTGATATTTAAATCAATTGAATTTACAAGATTAAGAGAAATGCAAACAACCAAGTACAGATCTGAGTTGGAAGCAAAATTCAAAATAATTTTATCCTACTCTCTTTTTCTAAGAAGGTAACCAGTGCCCAAAGGACAGGAGTTCTCAGTATCACACAGTGAGTGCTAACAGTGAGATTCAAATGGAGACCCTGTACAGCTGGGCCTTTCACTGATTTCTATTCCTAACTTCACTCAAGCAAACCCTGGTCCCCTCAACTCTTATGAAGGTTTCCCAAAAAAACCTATAAACCAGTCATCAGAACAGCTAATGCAATTTTTAAAGTTTTGTTCCTCCAGCTCTGCAATTCCAGCCAGACTGATCAAAGTGCTTGAAGGCTATATTCTTCTAAAAGCTTTAGCGGAAACTCAATTTCTTCCTTATTAGTCATTGATAGAAACATATTCATTTGTAATTCCAAAGCCCTGCATTTTGCCCCAAATCTTTCTTTCATGTAATAAACAAACATAATGAAAGAGAGAAAAAAAATGTATTAGATGCCATTTAGGAGGCCCATTTCCCCAAATACGAAGAAACTCATTTTTTCTTTCTTCTTTACTATTCTAGGTTTCCCGTTACTCTCTTTTCAAACCAATAATTTTGAATTACACAAAAATTTTAAGTTCACTTTCTCAACAATAAAATTTTAGTTCCTCACAACTTAATGCCTGGCAACCGTGCTCTTTTCACAGAATATAAAGACAACCTTGACATTTAAGCTGATGGTTCTAAATGAGGATACAAAGCAAATTTTAAAAAGCATGGGCTCTTCCAATGTATTTGTTAACTGTCCAGTTTCTAGAACTTTATCCTCCACGTTTGATCCGAATTATAGGCACACCCTGGAGACACCATGGGTTCCGTTCCAGACCACTGCCATAAAGTATCACAATAAAAGGAGTCAAATGAATTTTTTTGCTTCCCAATGCATCGGAAAATTATTATTTACACTATTCTGTCGTCTATTAAGTGTGCAATGCCATTACGTCAAAGAAAAAAAAAGACAGGCCTTAATTAAAAAATACTTCATCACTACAAGCGCTAACTATTACCTTGGCTCTCCACCAGTCATATTCACCGATCACAGATGACCATAACAGACAACAATCAGAGTTGGAAATATCACGAGAATTCCCAAAATGTGGCGCAGACACAAAGTCAGCAAATGCTGTTGGAAAAAATGGCGCAGGGGCAGGGTTGCTACAAACCTTTAATCTGTTAAACAAACAAACAAACCAACCCACAGTGTCTACAAACTAAAGGACCTATGCCTGTTTTTGTGGCCGGTGCCCAAGGCCAAACCCGTGGGTCACCCTGTGCTCACACTCCCCCCTCTACAAGCGAGTCACCCCCTCCCAGGGTTACGGTTCCTCCACACAGAGACCTCTCCCCACGCACACACCCCGTCCAGAAGCAAACACTCATGCACCTTCACCCTCTCCCCTCCCCCCGACACACAAATCCAAACCAACCCTGGGAGTCATCAGAAAGCAGCACCTTCTACCAAATTGAACCTGCAGAGCCAAGTCCTGAGGCCATTAAAACCGACTCCTTGAAATCCACGTTGACTGGCCACTGTCTCATAAGGGACAGGCTCTTTCAAACCTCTCCTTGGAGATTTGGGCAAGGTGGCCTCCGTGCTGCCCGCAGACGTAACATGGCAGCCTTCCCCGGGATAGGTGAGGGCCCAGAGGTCTGAGGAGCACACTCACTGCAAATCTGACTTGGCAGTTCTCCTCTCCCAGGTAACACAGGTCTCCTGAGACGTTGGTCTCCAGCCACAGGTGCTCTCCGTTCACGGCATTCTCCTGGAAGGAAAAGACCCACCTGACTTCAGTTTTCTTTCTAGGCGTAAAGGGGCGAGAGCTCAAATTTGGGTTTTGGGAGGCAAGAAAGTAAGGGCACCCACAGGGTTTAAGCGCTTCTCATTTTACCCCTGAAAATATGGCCGGTGCGTGTCCTATCAAAATTTAGAAATAGAACAGGTCTTTCGTAAAGTTTTGTCGAAGCCATCACTAAAACAGACATGAGGCCTATGAAAGCTTTATCCATAAGCTGTGATAATCTGTGAAACATATATTAAACAAATAAAGAAACATCCCTCAAATTGTTCAATGTAAGGTCGTATTTATCCAGGCCCAACACTGCAGATTCCATGACAATCGAGACCAAAATCCTATTAAAAGTTGCCTTTACTTAGCAAATGAGTTAAGAAGGAGGACAGTGGTATTAACGCACGTTAGAGACTGTTTGAAGACATATTTATATCAGTAATGGGTAAATTACGTTCTAAGGCAGAGGCTTCTTAAAACTTACTTTTAAGTCACTGTGTACTCAAAGCATAATAAATTACTACTAATTCACACTTTCCCTACTTCAACAGGGCTTTCACCCATATAACATTAAGTTTCTCAAATTGAATGATTTTCCTGCTTCTATAAATGGTCACGTCTGATTGCAAACAGAGGTGCTGTGATGGGTGACATGAAACATCCACTCAGGAATGCATAACGTTTCGTCGGGGTGGGGGGGGGTGTAATGCTTCTTAAACAGGACGACGAATAGGATTGCACATTCCTTCTGGCACACTATCTTAGAAACCTGAGGGATTTGTGTATCGATTGTGTATTTTTTGCTCATTTGCTTGAAAAGGACTCTGAGCTATTAAGGAAAGCACTGGACTTGGTTAATCACAAAGAGATGAAGTTTACCGATCTTGGAGGAAAAGTGTTTTTGTTTGTATCTGGTTCATCCGTGGGGCATGCCATGGATTTTTTTTTTTCCCATGGGAGATGTTATAGCCTGAACTGTGACTCCCCGCAAGTTCATATGTTGAATGTTCATATGTTCCTCAGTATCTGAGGATGAAGCCTTTTAGAGGTAATTAGGTCATGTGGGTGGTGCACTTATGATTGGGATTAGTGCCCTAATAAGAAGAGACATGAGAGGGATTGTTTTCTCTTTTCATACATACACTGAGGAAAGGTCATGTGAAGACAGAGTGAGAAGGCATCGCAAGCCAGGCCATCTACAAGCCAGGAAGTGGGTTCTTACCAGGAACTAAAACTACCAGTGCCTTGATCCTGGAGTTCCCAGCCTCGAGAACTGTGAGAAATTCCTGTTGTTTAACCTACCCAATCTATGTATCTTGTTAAATGACTTCAATAAGGAGCTTTATAGAATAGCCAAGTAATTTAGAAGTCCATCTTACACGAGACCTTTATAATAACTGACTCTAGAAATGTCCACATGACTGCCCTGTGAATCCCAAAGCTCAACATGAAGTAGCAGAAACATATACCGAAGAGAAACTGAAAAAAATACAAAGTGTCATCTATTTCTTAAACATATTTCTTCAGATTCTAGTACAATACCTTCCCTTTCAGAGCCTATAGGCTCAAATGATTTTCAGACAAGAATAACTAGAGGTTATAGATACTTCACCATCTGAGAAGGGTGACACCAACTCTTAGAAGAGTGAGAGTGAGGGGCAGGAGAAATTTCATGAGTTCGGCAGATATTCAGCAATCAGAAACAATGCACAGGGAGACTCTAAGGCGGGGGTGGGGGGCATCCTATACATGTCTCAGAGTGCTTCAAAAACCATTCCAAGAAGAGAAAGCAAAGCTAATGAGAATCATGACCGTCCATGTCAAGGGGTGACTGAACATCTTTTCACCAAGACTTTTTCTTCTCTATTGGTCACTTTTCCCTGTAGAAAGTCATGTTCATTTTTTTTTCATGGAAGTCAATGGAAAATGGGGTTCACCTCACAGTCAATCTTGCAGAAAAACAACAGAAGCAAGAGAAGAAGAGCTATAGGTTTAGACCCTAAAAATTTTCAGGTAGGAATGGATGAGGACAGTATACATATTTATTTTTCTTGTAAATGCATACATATATACATATATATGTGAATATATACACTCACACACATACATATACGTGTGTGTGTGTGTGTGTGTGTGTGTGTGTGTATCCTGTCTTTGTTAGGTATCCTAAAGAAATTGATCCCCACAATCTAAAACAGTCTATTACTGAGAACTTGATATCCAACTTTCATTTAGAGCCATTTATAGAATGAGATCTCTTTTCATTCTGTTGTTCTTTAATTCATTCAATAAACATTTATTCCACACCACGTGTGCCAGGCACTGGGTTAGTGTGGTAATGCATGACATAAAATCTACTAGAGAATATGAAACCTGAACCCATAATTATAGCATCAAATATTAGGGAAACCAAAAGAGCAAAGATCCTACCAACAGTTTGAGAAAGTGAAAGATAAAATGTTGTAGTGGATAAAATGGTCAAAAAACACTGATAATAAATACAAAACTGATAAACCTTGAGTCAGATTCAGGCATAGAAGGGTCATTGGGATTTGCTAACTTCATTCTTGAGTGGAGATCTGATTAGTCTTTCTAATCACAAAGGGAAGAAAGAAAAAAAGACAAGAAGCTTCCTGCCACAGTGGTTCTGACCCACTGGGTCTCAAATTTGACTGATCATTAAAATGAACTGGTAAGTTTTTAAGAATACCTGGGTACCATCCCCCAGAGAGTTTATTTTAACTAATGTGAGTTGAAACCTGGACACCATGAGTTTTCAACGTTCTGAAGTGACTCATGTACAGAGAGTCTGAGACCCCATAATCCAGCAGACCCTGCCCTACCCCCTCAAGTTAATAGATTCTAGAACTTGTCTATGATTGATCTATTAAATCTGATACTTTTCTGTCCTTGTACAGTCAGGTACAAGGTAAAAGAGGAAGAGAGAAGAGGAGACATAAGGTAGCCCAGAGAGATTTTAAGGAGAGAGACAGGAAACCACAGATAGTGAGAAGGCTCAAAGTTAACAAGATAGATCCAGGGGATAATGGAAAAGTCTTCAATCACAAGCCTTTAAAGAAGCAACAGAATAAATGAGAATGTTTATATACTTAATAGTAATCTTACGTTAGGAATGTACCTAAGGCAATAACCCTAATGGAATAAAAACCATTTACATCAAGAAGTTTATTTCTACCATGTATAATCAAAAATTGGAAACATAACAAATGCCCCGTGGAGAAGAATGTTTGGTAGAATAATACATGAAACAGAGTATTATAGTCATCAAGAAGTGACAATTATGAAGATTGGCTGTATGGAAAACTACATGATGTAAAGTCAAATAAAAAAAAAATTTCAAAATTACCTGTATATTACAATCACAACTCCGAATATAAATAAGAGCTGAAAAAACTGTATTTGTAGCTTGATTTCTGGATCCACACTCCCTGTTAGTTATTTCTACTTGTTCTCCTTTCCTGGAAAAGTTCAAGAATGAGTTTTCTTTATTTGCTGCCCCCACTTCCTTTCCACCGCATTGTTTCTCGAACCCAGCTCATCAGGCTTCCTTCCTTCTCATTCCACCGTAACTATTTTTGTGAAGATCATCAGTGACTTTACATGGCTCAATCCAATAGCCACTTCTCAGTCTTTATCGTAATCAACAGCTTTTGATACAAGTGATCATTCCCTTCTTTTAGGGACACCTGCTTCCTGGAAACACTATACTCCTTTCTTTTTTTTTTTTTAATTGCACCTCAATGGCCACTCCATCACAATCTTCTTTTCTCGACCTTTCCTGTAATCTCAAACTCTAAACAGCAGAGTGTTCCACAGCTCATTCCCAGATCTTCACTCTTCCCCAGCCACCTCCAGTCCTAAGTTATTTGCTTTTAGCTCTTGTGACTTTAGATTCCATCAATTAATTGTCGTCTCCCAAATTATTCATACAGTACAAACCTCCTCTTTGAACTTCAGACTCATTAAAACAAAACAAAACAAAACAAAAAAACTGCCCTCTCAATATCTCTACTTGAAACCAACAAGCATCTCAAAATTTTAGCCTCAAAACTCAGTCTGTGGTATACTCCTTAAATCTACTCTTACTTCAAATGCTGTTTCCATTCTTAGAGCTGGAAATATTTTCTAAAAACTTTGGGGTCCTTTTAGATCTCCCTTTCCCACTCCTGTCCATCTACTAATGTTACTGACTCCAGTTTCAAAATGGGCATGAAACTCAATTACTTACCACTTCAACCACCACCACTTGATCTTCCATAATCTTTGGCTTGGAATGCCCTCATACCCCCTAACTGGTGTCCCTGCATCACCATGGTGATGAGGCACCAGTCTTGCCTCCCCATGGTCTATTCTTCAGAGAGCAATGAAAGTAATTGCTTTAAAATGTAAATTTGACCAAGCCACTGATAGGCTCGAAATTCCTCAAAGGCTATCCATGAACTTGGAAGAATGCAAAGCTTTTACTATCGAGTCCCTGGGTGCCTCTCTTACTTCCTATCCCTCTGTAACCTCATTTCCTGTCCTGGTTACCTCATCTTCTATCATACTCTGTCTGAGTCAATGACTTGCAGTCACACTAGGCTCCTTGCTATTTATTTCCTCAAGCTGGCTAAAGAAGCTTCACATCAAGTCCTTTGAATTGGCTATTCCCTATTCCCTTGACTAATAATTGCTTACATGAGATAACTACATTGTGCCTCCCTCTTTTTTTTTTTTTAAGGTCTCTGTTCAAATGTCCCTATATCAAAGGCTGTTCACTGCATATGCTGCTTAGTCTATCCAAATTGTTTACTCCTCTCCGTTCTGATTCTATGTGGCTAATTTCTATTCACTTACTGGTCATCAGATCCAGTGTTACTCCTTCCAAGAAGCCATCACTAGCCCCAAAGTCTAACTGAAGTTATTTGTTAGTTTCTCTCATAAAACTGTGTTCCCTTCCAATAACCTTTCTCCAT